TGAGGGCCCAGAGGACAATGAGTCTACCTGAGGACTCCCTCTCCCTTATGTGAGGTCATATAAGCTGTCCTTCTACCCTTGACTGATATTTTCCTGGGATATATTTCGTCTGGCCACATTGGTTATTGATGGTCTATCTCTTCATTGGCACTGGATGTTCAAAATTACTATTTTCAATATTGCTTCTATCCATATCCCATATTTCCAGAAACCATCTTAGAAGGAAAGTCATAACTTTAAAAGTATGGAATTATATCCAAAGAGACTGAGCATTTATTTAAAGAGACTGTTAAATATTTGGATCAGACTAAACATATCAGGTTGGAATAAGATCAAGTTACCCTTCCTTTGTTACTATGGTGGAGAACCCATAAGGGGGATCAAATCCATTAATTGGATATAAACAAACTATATTATTTTTGTATTCGATTCAATGAATTGCAACTTTGTGTCAAATACTAGTATACAGAATACTGGAAAGATCTGAGAACTTCCATGAGCACTTAAATCCATTAGCATTCAAAGGTCTACAAAAGCAGGGATTTTTGTCTGTTTGGTGCACTGCTGTAGCTCCAGTACTCAGAGTAAGTTCCTGGCACATGGTCGGTGCTCGGTAGGTATTTACTGAAGGGATTACAACTATTACATGAGGCAGACTTGCAAAGTGCCACTAAGAATCCCAATAGAATTTCAAAAAAACCCAGTGAATCCCCAGTGTCATCCATTTTAATCCATAGTTGTCAGCTCCCTCTAGGAATATATGTTCCATTTTAGGCACCGAGATTTAAGAGGAGCATTCATTAATAAACTAGAGAGGATCCATAAGGGATCGGCAAGGCAAAAGAATTCTGGAAACCGCTGGAACCAGTTTGGCTCAGTGGATAGAGCGTTGGCCTGCGGACTGAAGGGTCCCGGGTTTGATTCCGGTCAAGGGCATGTACCTTGGTTGTGGGCACATCCCCAGTAGGGGGTGTGCAAGAGGCAGCTGATCGATGATTCTCTCTCATTGATGTTTCTAACTCTCTATACCTTTCCCTTCCTCTCTGTAAAAAATCAATTATATATATATATATATATATATATATATATATATATATATATTAGCCGAGACCGTTTGGCTCAGTGGATAGAGCATCAGCCTGCGGACTGAAAGGTCCCAGGTTCGATTCCAGTCAAGGGCATGTACTTTGGTTGCGGGCACATCCCCCAGTAGGGGGTGTGCAGGAGGCAGCTGATCGATTATCTCTCATCGATGTTTCTTCCTCCCTCCCTTCCTCTCTGTTAAAAAGCAATAAAATATATTATATATGTATAATATATTAAAAATTTATATTTTAAATTTTATATTATAAAATATATTATAAAATATTATAAAATATATTTAAAAATATATTATAAAGTAATATATATATATATATATATATATATATATATATATATATATATATTAAAAAAAAAAGAATTCTGGAAACCACTCCAAATAAGGAACAGTTGACACTACTTCAGAAAAACATTATTATGAGAGATAGGATGCTATTTCCAAATGTTCAGAAGGCCCTCATCCAGGATGAGTCTGAATGATTGTATGATTGTTATGTTCATACTTAGACCCAATGGGCAAATTTTGGCCCAATGTAACAAAGAAACTTCTGATGCTAATTTTCCAATAATGGAATGGATGGCTTTGTGAACCAGGATGTGATAGTTAATTATATATTGATTGTTGTCAAACTAATAAAAAAAGGATCATATTTACATAAGTATTCAGGGGAGCTTCATCAGTTTTGCCAGGGCCTCTCTTGATCCTTTGATATTGCAATGATTAGTTATTATATTAGTAACAACGTAAAGCAATATCTTTTATCTTTTGAATGACTCTTATTATGAAATTGGATCAGAAAAATTATCTTCCTCAGAAAATAGTAAACATTTCATTTCATGAGTCTATGAATTGTATAATTGCTGTGAACCTCAATGTTATTAAATATGAAGTGAAAAAAATGTTCCCCATAATTTGCTTTTATTTTTGAAGTTGAATTTTAAAAGACCCCCCCTCTCCCATTTTGTGAAATTTGATCTTCATTTTGAGTAGAATAAATTTTAGTGACCTTTGCACTAATTATCCTCACATAATGTAAAATTCTTGGATGTCTCTGTTTCCTATACTGGGAATGCTTTCTTCCTCTAGTTATGTCAAAAATGGACAAAACATATTAATAAATGCTATATATCTGCTTGAATGACCCAGAGGACTTCAAAGGAAGAGTATCATATTTGCCCCCAAGCATGTGCTCAGGACATTATAAATAATTAATGATTAATTCTTTATACATTCACTCTTTATTTATTCATTTGAGCTAGGTAGACACTAAGGACATGAGAATTATTCACTTCCCTCCCTCATGGAATCTGTAATTCTGTAGTTATTCTGATCAACACGTTATCCTTATTAATATGTTCAGCATGGAAATACCTTTTTATTACAAATGTAATATTTGCTCATTGTAGATGAATTCACAAAATAAGAAAGAGATAAAGAAGAAATCTGACATAATCTTACCACTGGGAAATAAAAGTCGAAGATATTTAATAATAGATGCTTACAGACTTTCCTTCCTATGTGTCACATATAGTATATATATTTATACATTTGGTACATTATATAAATATATATGAATTCTATACATATATACAAATATATATTCCTAAATTATGTAAGTATAGATGTTTTAAAAAGATGTTTATTCTATACATATTATTTTATAAATTGCTTATCTCACAGATATTTAAAAATAAATATAGATCTATCTAGTTATCGTGACTGAAGGGTATTCAATTATTTGTATATGCCATAATTTGTTTATCAAATTTTCTATGTTGATCTTTAGATTGCTTCTATTTTTTTACTATTATTAACAATGTAATCATCCACTCATACATTTTTATTTATTTATCCTTTTCTTGCAGGGCAAATATGTTATACTATGTAAAGCTTGAAATTTTATCTTCTTGAAAACTTAAAAATTAATAATATTAACAAAATATTCCAAACATGGAAAAAACAAACAATGCTAATCTATATTGTTAGTTGTCAGGATAATGGTTGTCCCTGGAGTCAGGTGTATATTTTGATTGGGAGGGTTTTACATATATTTGAACTACAGTAGTCCTCCCTTATCTGGAGTTTCACTTTCCATAGTCTCTGTTGCCCACTGTGCAGTGGTCTAAAAGCATTAAACATAAAATTCCAGAAATAAATCATTCATATGTTTTAAGTTGCTGGCCATTCGAAGTAGCAAGCTGAAATCTCCCACCACTGAGCTCCATCCTGCCCAGTGCTTGACTCATCCGTTTGTCCTGAGTATTCACACTGTAGATGATCCCCACCTATTAATCACTTAGTAGCCCTCTCAGTTATCAGATATATTGAGAGAGCACATTCACATAACTTTTACTACAGTATATTATTACAATTGTTCTATTTTAATATTAGTTGTGTTTATCTGACTGTACCTAATTTATAAATTAAACTTTATCAAAGGTATGTATGTATAGAAACAAAACATCATTTAGTTAGGTTTGGTTCTATCCCGTTTCAGGCATCCACTAGGGGTCTTAGGATGTATCCTCTGAAGAGAAGGGGACTGAATTCCATGGGGGAATTGATTTTACTTTTGTAAAAATTTAACAAGCCATAGACTTGACTTGTCACCTTCTACTTTCTTGTATTTATGTTACACATCAATGAAAAAGTTAAAAATTGTGTTATAATTTACATCCATGTTTTACATCCTTTGGTAAATTCTAAGAATTAAATGCTATTATCACTTTAAGTTTTGACTCTCAACAATATATAAAATATGATTTTTGATTCAAAATTAATACTCATGATCATTTTCTAATTTTCCATGATTTATACATTTAAAAAAATGAGTATTTTCCTCTTTAACTTTTTATTTGAAAACATTTCAAATCTAGAGAAAATCTAGAGAAAAAGCTAATAGAATAATATAGTGGACACCAACTTTACACTTTTTGCTAAATTTGCTTTCTCTTTCTGTCTCTACACACATACACTTTTATATGTATATGTGCTTGTATATGTGTATATTTATTTTTATATTTCTGAACTTTTTGTAAAGCAGTTTTAGACATCACGACAATTTACCCCTAAAATATCCGTTAAGAATAAGAATATTCTTTTAAATAGCCAAATACATTTACCACACCTTTAAAAATGAACAATAATTTCATAGTATCAAGTAATATCTAGTCCATATTCATATTTCCACAATTATTCCAATATGGTCTTTTTTTAACTGACTAAAAACAAAAAAATCCACGATTAAATAAATTCATCCACTCACTGAAAGTAGCTGTTTTGTCTCTTTAGTCTCTCTTTATCTGAAACAGTCCTCAGCCACCAGCACCCCACCGCACTTTCTTTTCTGACATCGAACATTTTCAAGTTCAGGTCACTTGAAACCCCTCTGTTTTCAAGTGTGTGTGACCATGCTCAATTTTGCAGGCTTATATTACAAAAGTATGATAGTTTTTTCAGAAGCACACGTATCAGCAACTGGAACAAATTTATAGTTGGGCTATCGGTGAAACAGAGCAAGACACTGGATCTCCAGTTGGGCACCAGATGTTTTTGCTGAGGGAGGGAGAAGCAGTAAGAGCTTTGAAATCTCACAGGATTACTTTGATCATAGTGACATTTCACCCTCTGAAATGCATCAGGAGGGTTTTCCTTCTTATTGGCATGGTGGTATTATTCAAGAATCAGTTAGTATAGGACCAGTTTTGAAGATCTGAAAATGCAGTGACAGCCAAGAAGGATATTTTGAAGTTTGAAATGATCCCTATATAAATAGAACGGATCAGCATAACTTTGGGATAAAATTAGCCGACACTTTGTGGGCTCTCCAGCATGTGCCTGTTTGCTTGGTGCCGCTCTCCTGATAAATCACAGCAAAGCTTCCAGAGGAAGAGGAAGGATGGACAGCACTGCTCTCCCTGTCAGTGCACCCGCAGCTGCCAAGCTAGTTAAGAGAAATTTCCTTGAGGCTCTAAAGTCAAATGACTTCGGAAAATTGAAGGCCATTTTAATCCAAAGGCAAATAGATGTGGACACAGTGTTTGAAGTTGAAGATCAGAATATGGTTTTGGCATCTTATAAACAAGGTAAACATTATAGGTGTAACTGGTACTTGGTAAAAGTTTTAGGTGTAATTGGTAAAATCGATAGAAAATGGAGTTTTTTAATGCGCAGCGTCGGTCACCCACTCTCAATCAACGACTCTTGTTTCTTTAAATATGTATTTTAAAAATATTTCTAATTTAATCTTTTATTTCTCGTTAAAATAGATTGCAACATGGAGATATATATGTACTTAAAAAAAGAAAAGAAATTGTGCTGTCCCTTTTTTTCTTTCTCTATCCTTGTACTTGGAATTTGAAATCCTGGCCAATCATTGAATAGAGCGATTTCCTTCTATTTCTAACTTTTCTTTTGCCTATACTGACATAGAATAAAAAAAATCTCTAGATTATGGCTAAAGAGACTGCTCAGATGGTATGAGTGGCTTGGGGACAAGCAGAGAAGTCTCTTTTAACACAGCCACTTAAAGATGTGTCATCTCTATGTCCCTCTTTATCAACAAAGTGGATTTTGCCCCCGTTTGGAGAGTTAATGAATGCGTAAGGTTGTGCCTTGATGCATCTTGATGGTTCTCATCGTTTTAATGAGTTTTCAGTTTAGTCAGGAAAGCTGAACAACAACAAAAAAAAGTGAACTTTTCCCCTTGAATAATAGATCAAAATTGTAGATCTACTTAACACAGATTATCTGTGTTCTGAAGAACTAAGGAAAACAAAAAATCAGAACTGATTGTTTTTTAATCCAGGGACTTTCTGAAACTCATGGTTAATGAATCAGAAATAAATTAGAAGAGTACAGCTTCTGATTTCCCAAATCAGCTAGTTATGGGGGAACTTGAGTAGCGAGGCCATCTGGTGAGCAGACTGCAAACAAACACCACGTTCAACATCACTTCTGTTTAATAAAATAGATAAGGTCTTGTATGTGGCATTTAGAGAGAGACACCCATTCTTTGTTCCTGTTTAAAATGCATTCCATGCCTATATAAATCATCAGCACCATCAATTTTCAGCGACTAATGCTAAGGGTATATAGTTCTACATGAATTAACTATACTCTGCTTATGAGTTCTGAAGGGTAGAATAGCCAAGGCCAGTTTATAATTAATACTTGCAGGCTTTATAATCAATTAACATTGCTATTTGATTGGAAGATAAAAATGAGGTCTGTTTTTAAAAAAAGTAGTTGATAGATAGGGGGTTCTGTTACGCAGAAAGACAGGATACTATAAAACGAGGTTATTTACATCACATGGATTTGTTCCGTGAAAGACGATCTGAATGCTCAATACATGTTTAAGGGTTGTGTTTTTTTGTTTGTTTGTTTTTGGTGTGTTTTTTTTTTTTTGAAAAATTTACATTAGGGCCCAATGTAAAATAACTTAGGTCTAAGTCAGTGGGTAATTTGCCTGACTCTGAGTTGTGAAGACTGCCTTTTCTCATCTCCCGAGCATGCGGAGCTTCTGAGGTTGTGAGAAAGCAAGTTTTAGGGGCAAGCTCCAGGGAAGAATGGTGCTGTTCCTCTTGCTTCCAAAGGTGTCACCCCCCCCAAATGAGAAGAATTTTAAATCCTTTCTGTCAATCTGCGCCGACTCCTGCGGTTCTCACAGAGCAAACATTTTCATTCATGCTAATGGGTATTTTCATAGTGTTAGGACTATGTGATGTGGCTTTCAATTAGGGAGACAGCAAATTACACCCTCTGGGAAAGGAAAGGAACAGTTCTGTTCTTATGCACGCCAGATGGATATATGCACAGAAATAATAAGATTTATGGTCATATCTTCAGGGTTGATGCAGGAAATTGTATGTGTCTGTATTTGTATAGAAAGTAATACACTCACTCTCTGTTTGATATGAATATGGGTAAGAGACTAATGCAATCTGAAACCTGAATTAAAGCCTCATTTTTCTCCAAAGTTTCCTCAAACTTTTTCACACCTCTTCCAGCCTAATTATCAGATCTTTTAATATTTTAGTCATGGTGGGAGTGATAAATAGAATCCCAGTTGCTAGCCAAGCAAAATAGACCTAAGTGGTTATATCAATTTCTTAAAGCCACAGAGGAATTCCTAGGGAACAGCTGAGCAAGCTACACTAGTCGGTTAGTTAGTTAGTTAGTTAGTTAGTTAGTGTGAGTTAGCTGCTTTCTGAATAATTCTAATGAGACCTTTTTCTGTGCAAGATTCAAGTTTGTGAGGCTTTATTAAATCACAGGAGTCTTTTGGATGTGGAATTGTTATGCACTAGTTTTTGACCTTTTTAAAGCTCTATGCAGAAAAATACACAAATCATAAGAGTGCAGCCAAATTAATTTTTATAAAATAAACAATCCTATGTTTCCAGCATCCAGGTGAAGAAGCTGAACATGGCTTGTTTACTTTTAAAGTGTGAGAATTTTCCTTCAGGCTTGTCATTTTTGTCTTACTAAGCAAGACAATGTGTAAAACATATAACAGATACCATGCTATCTCTAAATTTGCTGTGTCGTTAATAATATAATCTATGTTCAATATCCAATTGTCCCGGGGAAAATCAACCAGGGCACAATTAATCCCAAACCATGTTTCTTTCTTTTAGGATGTATAGCACTTTTCACAGAATTTCTAAGAGTGATCACATTTTCTCTGTAAAGATAGTATGTCTAAAGCCAGTATGAAAATTAATTTCATTAATAACATTGAGGTTATAATTTTTGGAAAGGTAACGCTAAATTCCATTGGCAAAGAAATCAACTTGGGATGTGAACGTTGTTCCCCCAAATCCACAATCCAATTGGTATACCAGCAATCAAAAGTTGACCTCCTGCGCAAATATAGAACACAGCATCTGAAAATGCACTTCTCTTCCCTGTGTGACAGAGAACAGACTTAGAGGCCAGCGTCCAGGACTCAGGCTCACCATGTGGGACCTGCTTAGCCCCAGAGCCTGCTCATGATTCTTAAGGTTAGATCTCGTCTTATTGGGTCAAGTTATTTTTAAATAACTCATAATCCAATCTTCAGATAAAGGCATGTTTTATGAATTTGAAAAACTTCTCTCCCACTTTGTAAAGCAAACATCGAAAAACAATTCGGTTGGCATTTGAGGCATGTCCTGGAGAAGGGCAGAGATATGGGTCTTAAAAGCAAACACCAGGAAGCAAAATGACATCTCCCAGATGATCACTTTAAAATGGGAAGAAAAGTTAAACAAGCGAACAGCTTTTTAACTTCTAAATGCAATAAATAGCTGCCTCGCCCAGTGAGGTCAATGATATAAAGTTTATTATATGCCAAGAACACAGTATATAGGGCACAAGCCAGGTCTCTAAAAAAGAGCTGTTTCTCAGAATAGCGGAAGCATGAACATCCATGAAACTGTTTCCAAAAGTTCTACCAACTACACATCTCAATTTTCCTTTAGATGTCTCAGTCCTGGCTTATACATGATCCGGGCAGAATATCATCTGTATCTCGTGGGAGTGAAATTCCCTGGTTAGCAAGGTTAACCAGAGTTCTTTTATTAATCAGTGTAATGCAGTTAAGTCCTCTTTTTATGGCCTCAGCCACAGGTTCTTTGGTCGGTGGTGGTATTTTTAATTAAAATAACCAATGAATGATTTCACTGGAAATCTTTCTGGCGGGTACTCTATCTACTTTACTAAGTAGCACCTGCCATCCAGATATCTCAAATGCTCTTATTTCCACTCTCTTCATGAATAATCTCTTTTCCACCTAATTTTCCTCTTAGACAGAAATTCACTCTCCAGCTCTCCTTAGACCCTGATGGGGTTCTCTTCCATTCCTTGGTGTTCAATTTTTTTTTCTTTTCAATTTTACTTGTCAAGCTTGCTTTTTCCCCTTCTCTCTCTCCTGGGAAAACTCTGAAATGTACCCCCAAAATATTAGCTGTTAGCAAATAGCCAAGACTTGTGCTTGCAGTCTCTAATCCTTCGGGACTGTGTAAATACATGGACACAGTTGGAGCAAATGTCTGCTAATCCAGGCGCGAGCAAGGCGTGTAATCTCTGGCTGTAACAGCGGAGGCTTCTCGGGTGTGGGCCCTTTGAACCCAGTTAACATCGAGCTGGTAACTGTCGCAGAGCACGGGCTTAGCCGAAGGTTTCCCCAAAGTTGGGGTGCATTCCTCCCCCGATCCCTGCAGCAGGGCCAAGTCTTTTTCCCCCGAGGAGGGCTGAACCCTTTGCTCCATGCCAGGATTCCTGAGCCTGGGGCCTACCCAGCTATGCCTGCAGCTCTCTTTGGTTTCTGATTTAAACTAGACACACATGTGTTAGTCTGCACATTTTTTTTGGGGGGGGGGTGTCCAAATTATAACATTCCTTCAGATCTGTCTCTTACAAGTGACATTGGTTTAGAAGTGAACGAAATGTCGCCTTCAGAGTATTGAAGGCTAGTTAAGGTTTGGGGAAACCAGAATGTGAGTTGGCCTCTGTTTGTTAGTTACTCAAACACTTGGACTTTATGCAACATAATCCATGCCAGGTATTATCCTAGTCCATGGTCTGTGTTAGCTCCAGTGGTTAGAGTGTTGGCCTGTGTACTGAAGGGTCTCAGGTTTGATTCCCAGTGAAGGGGTGCGGGTTAGATCCCCAGCCCTGGATGAGATGCGTGTGAGAGGCAACCAATCCATGTCTGTCTCACATTGCTGTTTCTCTCTCCCCTTCCCTCCTTCCTTTTCACTCTATCTTAAAAAAAAAAAAATCCAATGAGGAATAAGTAAAAAAAAGAATGAAAAAAAAAAAAGATATCCTATTTGTAAAGTGGAGGCTCTGTCAAGACCCTCTCTAAATCCTGTGCATGCTGATAATCTCTGAGATTAAGAAGGGGAATTACAGGCCCGGATAATGTGTCCTGGTCTGGGAAAGGTAAAAATTACTGGACACGTTAAGTCCACACAGCCATGGCCTGGGCTGGAAGTTCCCAGTGGGACTTTTGCAGAGGAGAAGGAACCTGTGCCTGCATGTCCTCAGTTAAGCTCCTTGCTTAAGCTAAGGTCTCCCACCAGGACTGCTCCACCCG